TACTTTATGCGAAAAAGAATTAGCAAGTTTTTGTTTACAAACTAAGTTGGGATTTGATGGAAGCTCTGGCCATACCTCATTTAAACAGGCCTTTCATGGACCAAATGCCAGCGATGCTGCTGTTTTTATAACGTCGTTTGTTCCATTAAGGTTACTTTGTGGTGACAAAATTATTTGGCAAAACCCGAGACCATCTTCTACCAGATTTTGCAGATCCTTTAAGATGTTTTTTAAAAAAGAAAGCGCAAGCGTTTGCAGAGAAGAAAAACAAATGGTTGAAGAAGAGGTTCAAAATATTGATAAGTCTATTGTGGTATTCGAAAACAAAACAGTTGAAGTGAGACATAGTTTTCTGTTAACAATGGTAGATGGAAAAGTATGCAATGCCTTAACTGAAACAACTTCAACGCAAAAGTGTTACTTATGCGGTGCAACTAGTGCAAAGTTTAATTCAGTTGATGAAATGATTGCTAAAAATGTTGAAACTTCTAGTCTTAGTTTTGGGTTGTCGGTATTGCATGGTTGGACAAGGTTTTTTGAATGTCTACTGCATTTATCATATAAATTACCCATAAAAAAATGGCAAGCAAAGTCAGAATACGATAAAAAAATTGTCATGGAAACAAAGAGACGTATTCAAAGATAGACTTCAAAGATAGAGCTGGTTTAATCGTTGATCAACCAAAACCTGGATTTGGTTACTCAAATTATGGGAATACAGCCAGAAGGTTCTTTCAAAATGCAGAGCTACCGGCTGAAATCACTAGTGTTGATTTAGATTTAATAAAAAGGATGCATATCATATTGATTGTTGTTTCTTGTGGCCATGAAATAGAAATTAAAAGGTTTCGATGTTTTGCACATGAAACTGCTAGACATTTTGTATCCAAATATGCTTGGTATAATATGCCTCCTACGCTACATAAATACTTTATTCATGGTCCGGAAATAATATCGCACGCTATGTTACCAATTGGCCAATTAACGGAGGAAGCGCAAGAACCTCTTAACAAAGAATTTAAAAAATGTAGAGAACATTTTACACGTAAATGTAGCAGAGAAAAGACCAATTACGATATTTTGAATAGGTTTCTCATTAGTTCTGATCCCGTTATTTCAAGCCTTAGAAAACTGAATAAAAAAAAGTTTCAACATATACCACCATTAGCTTTAGATCTTTTAAAATCACCACCTGTAAAAAATACTAATTCCCAATGTATCAGTGATCATGACGATGATGATGATGATAATGGTGATGATACTGACAATAAGGATTATATTTTATAATGTATATATGATTACCGTAAAAGTAACCAAAATTCAATATGTTAAAAAATTTGTAAAAAAAAAACAACAATAAAAAAAATTTTTTTTTTATATTCTTCCGTTCTATATATATATATAAAGTAGTCAACAATCAGCTTTTCAACTCAGGTGAATTGATCGCCATTTTAAGGGTCTTTTACCCCACTGTGCGTCGGTTGTTAGACCAAATGTGTGAACATTCGCATTGTCTTAGTGGAGATGGAAAATGATCCGACGACGCTTGTTTGTTTTCCGTACTTCACTGAAGACTTCCGATAAACAAATGGTTGTGTACCATTCGGATTAACCCATTGACGTTCCTGTAATGAAAAAGTTTTCACATAACCTGTTTCGTTACGAACTGTTTCGAGTGCGAATAACTTTTGTTGGATTTGCTTCATCTGCTGCTGTTTACATTCCAAGTAATACGCATATATCCATGATTCCTCACCTATTTCTCATAAATCTATTAGTCAAAAAATACAGATAATTGGTTTCGACAGAAATATTTATAAACTGGTAATTAGAGTAGGGTAAAGCAAAATTTTATTTTTGATTTGTATCAATTTCTTTTTTAAATCTAAGTACTACTACAACTGCAGCTAGCTGGGAAAAGATGTAACTTTAGAACCTCACATATATATTTAGCCTGTGTCGTAAGGAACATATTTAAAATGGTTTACATCCTACATGCCTACTGTAAATCTGCATAAAAACCAAATCCATGTAATAAAGCATAGGACCAAAAGATCTATGTATTAATTATGGTCAACCGAATTACTCTAGCCTGATCCTACAGATCAGTAACTGCGTCAATTTTACTAGCAAAATAATGTGCCAAAGACTATCATACAAAATTTATATAAATATTCACCTTCCACCTTATTATTAAAAATAAATTAATTACATTATTACAATTTAAAACAATAAAAAATTGTTAAAAAAAAGGTTAACATAGCAATTCTTATATATTGTCATCATATTAAAATATCAAAATAAAATATTATAAAAATCGGAAAAGGAGTATATTTATACTATCAGACAACTACGTTGATTTTCGTCAAAATAACATCTAAGTCGCATGTGTGAACGATATATAGACACAGTTCAAGATTTTTGATTTCTGCGTTGAGAGACATAGCGATATCGGTAACAACACAGAATACCATAGCAATAAATTCGGAACATTGAAAATCTGCGTTAAATCGTTAACAATCATTGAGCCTTAATTAGTTGCAAAACCTTTCTATAGAATACATCTTGGGCTTTTGGAATACATCTTGAACGATAAGAATAAATCTTACTTCAACACAAAGTTGCTGCAGGTTACATACGATAATTACAATAACGAAACTTAACCCAGCAACTCCATATTTGAGATTTCAAAATAATATTTTAATTACAGAATACGTTAACGACACCTGATATACCAACTAACCGGATATAACGACTGTTTCTTAAAGCCAAATTTGATTTGCCTTACACGCGTACTACTTACAGACTTTTATAACTATATGGATATAACGACATATCGGTTATTGCGACCGTACTTTTTTAAAATGTTGGTTCTGAATAATGGGTACAACCATCATACAAAAAAAAATGTTGTTTATTATTTAAAACAAGTTCTAGTCGATATATAATTTTTATTTCTAGAGTTTATATAACCGCTTATAACGAACAAATGGAGTCGATCCGTTCATTGTCATTATAACCGATTCTGACCACAGAACAACCGATGATCACCACAGAACACGTAAATATAAATGCATTTTAACTGTTCGTCATTTATTTAAATGTAGAAAACAACTATTGAATACCTGCTCAACTTTAGAACGTTTTTTTCCTATTTTACACACAATCCAAGCAATAAGTATTAGTATTACCTAGTATTATTTACTGGATTTAGAGTGGTCTATGTTAAAAGTAATCTGAATATGGTTCAAGTTACAAAACTCGTCGTACATTGGACTTTATTGCATTAGTTTAACTATAAGTCTGTCTTAAGTTCATGCGTTGCTGGATAATACGTTAACAGTTTATAAGTATTTCCACGTCAATGTAGACACAGATTCCACTCTACTGTTTGTGAATTCACTTAATGGCCAATAACATTTAAGTGCATTAATAACATTTTAGCACCTGCCATTAGACGAATTCAGCGTCATGTATGCATGTAAATGCGTTTATGTACTATTGTACAAAGTAAATTGAAAGTACCAAAATATTTGATTAGCATCGTTAAATGTTAAACTAAATTAAATGAGGTGCTAATTATACAATTAAATTTTGGCTCTCTCGGCGCTTGCATGCAGTGAGCCACTAAAAAGCCACAAAATTTTTATGACCACATCGGGTACCGCCGCTACCACAAAACATAAAAATAATGAAAATTATTTGTTACATAAATTGTTGGAAGGTATTATATACTACAAAGTAAATAAAAACATTTAGAAAAAAGAATTCCAGCATTTTAGTTTGTAATCAATATGCCAGTTGTGGACAAGTATAAATCCGCAGTGGGACGCTAATGTTAATGGCAGCGGCACAAAATGCTATTATGAACGGTAGTGAAAAAAGGATCATAAATCAACTATTTATGCTCGGACAAAAACAACAAATCTAGTGGCTTGCATTAATTAAAATTTTAAATAAATAAATATAAATATGCTATACGCTGCAAAAATTCTACACAAATATAATGCAATATATTGTAATTGTTAAAATTAACAAAATAACGAACACCAAATTAATAAAAAATAAAATATCATTTTTAAAATTTAATATGAATTTCAGTTCATAAACGAAGTCATTCTTACTTAAGTGAAAAAATTCAAAATATTTTTAAAAATGCAACAAAAAACTTTACAAACTTATTCAAATAAAAATAATATTAAAATTAAATATATTTTGTTAATTTTATTCCCCATTTTCATATATGCTTTATTTAAAATCAATTCGGTTAAAGTACACAACGTACCATTAGACTTAAATAAAACACCAGTACACATTTCATACTCTATGGAAACAAATCTGAACTCGTCCGCAGTGTCGGCAGGAGAAACTGATTTTAATAAAATCTTATTACAACAAGTAAAACAAAATATAGGAAAACCGCTCTCTAACACTGCAGAACTAGAATCGAAACAGCAAATTATACTTGGCAGCACTGTAACAGTGAACAGATACGATGATAGAGCCACGACTCGAAATGACTTTACTGTCGAAACAATCGCAGGCATCCATAATGGATTTCATGATAAAATTAATTTAAGTAATCAACAAAATGAATTAGTTGGTCACAGTGCAAAAACAACAACAACAATGCTGCCAATACCGTTGCTAGCTAGAGCAGCGACAATCCCAAGACCAAATCTTGAAACTATTAAAGTACACACAAGCAGCACAAAGACTTCAACTTCATTGCCAGTGAAGCATCAATTCGCGGAGTCAACATATTATGAACGTGTTGAACTGTTGGAATCCATGTCCCAGGAAAAGCGACAAAAATTGTTATTACATCGCCAGAAGCGTTATTTAATCTTTCCCGAAGGCAGTTCGTTTCAATTGGGTAAGTTGATTATATTAAAATTGCTTTTGTTTTAATATTGCTGGATATTGCTTTTCTTGTAATTTCACCGCATCATCAGTAAAATCTTTGCTGGAAAGGAAATTAGTGTTTATTAATTGGTTTTCTAAACCAAATTGCGTGCAGCTGCAATGATAGCAAAGTTAAGAGAATTAAAAAACAAATAAAAAAATTTTAAACTTTACGGTCCATGTCAAGTTGATCAAATGACAGCAAATGCGATTAGAAAAATTAAAAGAGAAATTTGTGTCTAATTTTAAGAAAATTTGCCCTCTGAAATATTAGAGTTGCCAAAAATATTTTTTTTTAGATTATTCTTAATACTGACCTGATTTAAATATAATTATTTCAGACAACATAAAATACTCAATCTAATTTACTAAAGCATTAAGATACCAAATAGAACTAAATAGAAATATTTTTATTATTAATGAAAAAGAATTATAAAAAATCTAACAGCATTAGGCGATATAAAAAGTATCCGCAGTTTTTTGGTAAATATTTTAACAAATATTTTCCATTATGAAAATTTATTTTAATTAAGTATATATGTTCCATAACTGTTTACACCATTTTGCAATTTTTCTGATTTTTCTGTCGTTTGTCGGTAAAAAACTTGCCTAAGAGATTTTGAGAGACCGAAATAAATAGTAGTCAGATGGTGCAAGGAATAGGCTATATTGTCAATGAATTATAATTTCCCAAGCAAATCCCATCATAATAAAACATAACTTCTTTTCTGTTGACCAACTCTGATCACTTTTCCTTGATTCTTTCAAACTAGCGTTCGATTTATGAGCAGCAGGGGATCGAATTAACCGCAGCATTAAGCGAGAGCAACTTGTAACAGACAATTTCCTTCTAATTCCACTAAACATGCAATGTAATCTTTTTGTCATCAATCCAGGCTTTGAAATCATTTATAAAGCATCACCGAGTTTTGAAAATAATCACTTGTGTTGGATATTTTGATTTACTTCAAAAATGGTTCCGTTTCATGGTGTTTTAGCAGCGTTTTACTAATGATATTTCGGTCAATAAAATTTAATACCTCCGACTTTCTCCCAACAGCT